CGAGGTACTGGAGCTCCTGAAGAAAGGTGCAGAGTTCGTCTTCTGGATGGATGCCGACTCCCTCTTCATCTCCGATGGTGTCGACTTGCAGTGGGCCTGTGACCTTGGAAAAGACACTGGGCGCTACAGAAAAATTCAAGTCCCATTGATTTCTCTAGGAAGTTCCCCGTTATCTCTCTTGAAAAGCTTCTGTAGTACAGGAAACTTTAATGGAATTTCCTGAACGACCCTGATCATAATAGCTTTATCAAGCGCTTGAGCAACCCTGATAGCAAAGTTTTTGAAATGCCGTAAAAACCTAAACCCTTAACCTTAAACCCTAAATCCTTAAACCCTAATCCCTAAACCCTTAACCCTAAACCCTAATTTAAAACCCTAAACCCTAAACCGTGCCGTTTCAAAGAGAGAACCCAGGACTTTGTGTTTGCAGGAGACCTCAACGTGGTTTCTTAGACAGCCAATGGGAGAACTTTAAACCTTTTTGGGCTTAGGGTTTAGGGTTTAGGGGAGAACTTTAAACTTTTCGGCCTAACATATTTGGTCTATCTTGGAAAGTGTGAACTTTATTTTGGGCCCGGTTATTCAAGAAGAGAGGTCTTCAATGCCGGACACTTCCTGGCTCGCCGGGGCGCGTGGGCTGAGCGATTCCCGGATCTTGATTTGCAGAGTGTTTTCGGGGGCTTAGGATGTGGGGTTTTGGCTTAAAGGTTTAGGTTTAGGGTTTAGGGTTTAGGATGTGGGGTTTGGCTTTAAACTTCGTTCTCCAATACCCAACCTTTAAAACTTTTTGGGGCTCTTATTATCTAGTAGCAACCTGAAGGTTTGATCTTTTATTTCCTGGCTTAGTGGGGAAGGAAGTAAAGGTTGAGGTGTTTGTTTTAGACACCTGTGGTTGGTGGTGTAATGTTGGCCTACTTTCCAGAAGCGTTAAGTTTGACTCTGACTCTCTTTCCTGAAGAGGGGGTCGAAAAATACGAGTACCCTAAAAGCAACAACCTGCCCCAGCTCTGTACTTAACCCCCAAAGCCTAAATAGAGCCTAAATCGCAAACCCAAAACCTTAGACCCTGAAAGAAACCCTAAAAAACAAAACCCTGAACCGACAAACACCCTAAACCCTAAACCCTAAACCCTATAACCCTATAACCCTAAACCCTAAAACCCTAAAACCCTAAACCCTACACCCTGTAACCCTAAACCTTCAACGCTAAACCCCAAAACCCTAAACCCTGAAACCCTAAACCCTATAACCCTAAACCCTAAAACCCAAAGCCATCAACCCTAAAGCCCTAAACCCTCAACCCTGAACCCCTAAAGCCCTAAAACCTCAACTCTAAAACATAAACCTAAACCCTAAACCCCAAAGCCCTAAAACCCTAAACCCTGAAACCCTAAACCCTATAACCCTAAACCCTAACCCCAAAACCTAAAGCCCTATAACCCTAAACCCGAAACCCTAACCCTAAAGCCTCAACCCTAAAACCCTACAACCAAAACCCTAAACACTAAACCCTAAAACCCTAAAACCCTCAACCCTAAACCCTAAACCCTATAACCCCAAACCCTGAAACCCCAAAGCCCTAAAACCCCAAAGCCCTAAAACCCTAAACCCTAAAACCCTAAAGCTCAAAAACGCCCTAAAGCCCTAAAGCCCTAAAACCCAAAAAAGCCCTATAACCCTAAAACCCTAAAGCCCTAAAGCCCAAAAAAGCCCTAAAGCCCTAAAGCCCAAAAAAGCCCTAAAGCCCTAAAGCAATAAAACCCAAAAAAGCCCTATAACCCTAAAGCCCTAAAACCCTAAAGCCCAAAAAAGCCCTAAAGCCCTAAAGCCCAAAAACGCCCTAAAGCCCTAAAAAGCCCTAAAAAGCCCAAAAAAGCCCTATAAAGCCTTAAAGCCCAAAAAAGCCCTAAAGCCCCAGAGCAGCTGGAGGATTCCTGAGCGATGCGTTTCGAATCCACCCGTGGCCCGCTCCGGGGCTGCCTTTAGGGTTTAGGGTTTAGGGCTTAGGGTGTTTTTGGGGTGTAGGGTTTAGGGCTTTTAGGGTTTAGGGTTTTTAGGGTTTAGGGGTTTTAGGTGTGTTTAGGGTTAAAATAGAAGCCCAAATAATAACAAGTATTACTGTTAGGGTGGTTCCTTATTCTAACTCTACCATAAAAGAAGCCCAGTAACCCTGTTTGAATCATACAGGCCCCTACAGTACGGTTTGGGGATTAGGTTGTAGAACTTCAGCCTCTTCGGGCTCAGGGTCTCTAGGTTGCGCTCTGTCGGGGCTTTAGATGGGGTAGTTCTCTAAATTAAGGTCCCTCTGCGTCCCAACATAGCACGGCACCCTTATGAAAAAGACCCTCAAAGGGACCCTACTTTTGAGAACTACCCAGATGTTTAGTCTTTAGGATTTCTCAAAGGGTCAAGGGCTTACGTCGGTTTAGGGTTTAGGCTTTAGGGTTTGGGGGGGTTTAGGGTTTATAGGCTTTAGGGGTTTCAAGGTTTCGGGCTTTAGGGTTTAGGAGTTTAGGGCGTGTGGCCTCTAAGGGTTTTGGGGGTTTGTGGTCTCTAGGGATTTGGGGGTTTCAGGGCAGCGGCACTGCAGTTTGAAGGCGAAACAAGCAACAAGTAAACATTAGCTGTGAAATACACTTAATAAAGTAACAACGAAGGATGAAGAAGACAATCCTTAACCCTAAAACCCTAAAACCTAAACACTAAACCCCTGAACCCTAAACCCTAAACCTCTAAAACCCTAAACCCCTAAACCCTAACCCTAAACCCTAAACCCTAAGCCCTAAGCCAGCAACGAAGGATTGGGAGGATAACGGCGCCATGATGATTTTGCTGGGTGGGGGATGCGCAGACGAGCCCAGCAGCTGGCGAGCGGCCTTCGAGCGTATGAAGGCAGGCATGTGATGTAGGGCTTCGTTCTCCAATACTCAGGGGTTTAGGGTTTTAGGGTTTAGGGGGTTTAGGGTTAGGGCTTAGGCGTTCGGGTTTAGGACTCCAATACCCATAATTCAGCAGTAACCTGAAAGTTTAACCTTTTATTGCCCTGGCTTATTGCGGAAGTAAAGTATATTGGTGTTTTTTTTATATTTATGCTGTAATATAACACCCAGATCCTGTTTCTGATTGTTGGGGCTCGCAATAGTATGGCTGAGGAATCCCTTTGTCCGGAGCTGTTTGTAGGGGAAGGTTCGTTTGTCTATGAGACCTAAACCCACGTCGTAGGGCGTACAGACAGATTCAGTCTAAAACTGAGCCCACAACTCAGAGGCAGTGGTCAGTTTGTAGGATCGGCCTAAAGTAAGTGCAAAAACCTTCAAGCCCTAAGCCCTAAGTTGGATACGGCCCCCCACTCAGTAACAGTTGAGTAATATTCATAATATGGACATATAAGGCCCTTAGTGGTAGCCCTACTATAGACTGTTATTGTATGGGGGCGGTACCCTAAACCCTAATCCCTAAACCCCTCAACCTCAAACCCTAAACCCTAAACCGTGTTTGCCTTGAAGCCGCGAAGGTACCGACCAGGAGCCCTGGAGAATGCCACAGAGCCATGACACAGCTGCTACCGCGCAACGTGGCGGAGCACGTCCAGGTCGTCCCTCAACACTTGCTCCTAGGCATACCGGCAGCCCTGAACCCTCAACACCAAGCAGACCTTACAACCTCCTCTAAACCCTAAAGCTGTTGCATCGTTATCCTGACCCCTCAACCCTGAAGCCGTGAAGCCTTTGACCAGTGAAGCCTGAGCCTATACCCTGGGATTGGAGTTGGGGCTGTGTCGGTTCAGGGTCGCAGGGTACCCCTTAGTTTAACAGGGTTCTTGTTAAGGGATTTGATTTAACTTCCCAGAATAAAGAGCCCCTATCATTTACTGTAGATCCCTACCATGGCAACGTAAATTAAATCCCTTAACAAGAACCCAGCTAGACCCTAAGCCGTTACTCTTAGACCGTGGCCATGTGCACCCCAAGTCTTTCAGCCCTCAAGATCCGACTGTAGTCGGTTTAGGGTTTAGGGTTTAGCGTTTTAGGGTATAGGGTTTAGGGTTTAGGGTTTTAGGGTTTAGGCTTAGAATACTGCAAACTCGATTCCCGTAAACCGTTAGTCAAACCCTGACAACATCTAAAAGCCCTTAAACCCTAAAGCCTAGACCCACAACTCCTAAAGCCTAAACCCCTAAACCCTGAAGCCCTGAACCCTAAACCCTCTAAAAAAAAATTAAACCTTTGGACGAGTCGGAGTTGGCAGACGGAAGCAAAGGCTCAATGCCTACGAGTGGCCACGAGGTGGGGGCGATCTTTCTTTGCTTCGGGGCGATCCGATCTTGCACTTTGCAGGCTGTTCGGCTGAGCCTGGGCTGCACCCTAAGCCCCAAACCCTAAACCCCAAACCCTAAACCCTAAAACCTAAAGCGCTTTGGGTTATGGATGAGAATCCGCCGGGCCCTGGGGCCTCGGCTTCCAGAGTCTCTAACACCTACTAGTTTATGAAGCGATTCTTTGGTCTTAGAGCAGCTCGCATGACTAAACCCTAAACCCCTAAACCCTACACCCCTAAACCCGAAACCCCCTACACCCCTAAACCCTAAACCCTAACTTCATTATGGCTTCATGCGCGTAGCACTCCTGAAACTTCAGCGCTGCTGCCTTTTGGGCGATTTGCTTTAGGGTTTCTTAGTTCTCGAATACCCAACCTTTGATTTAGAGTTTTGGGGTTTGGGGCTTTAGGGTTTTAGGGTTTACGGTTTTAGGGTTTAGGGTTTAGGGGTTTTGGGTTTCTTGGTTCTCCAGTACCCAAGCTTTAAACTTTTTTCGGGTTCTTATAATTTAGTAGTAACCTGAAAGCTTAAGCTTTTATTTCCCTGGTTTCTCGGGAAGTAAGGTTTGGGAGGACCAAGTCCCACACCCGTAGCTCAAACCTCTAAGCCCTGCTGAACCCTAGCCCCTAAGCCCTTAAATTTAGGGTTTAGGGTTGAGGGTTTCGGGTTTAGGGTCAAGGTGTAGGGTTTAGGGATTAAACCCTTAAGCCCCAACCGCCTAAGCCCCACAGCCTCAGTGCCGAGGAGCAAAAGACACAGCTGATTGCCAAGTTTGCACCCTGCACGGGCGATCCGCTACTGCTTTTGCATGCCAAGAGTCTGCCAGCTTGAGGAAAAAAACAAGGACACCTGCAGCTCTTTCTGGGCTACTTTGAGGATTCCTTTATGGATTCGATACTACCGTTGATGATATAAACCCTGCATTACCCATAATAAAGAATATACCATAATTCCCATAGTTTAGGGTCCCTAAGGTACTGCAGGATTGATATCATCAACAGTAGGTTTTGGGATTCAGGGTCTATGGCTTAGAGTTTCAGCTTCAGGGGTTCGGCTGCAGCCTACATGGTTCTGATATCCTAGGGTTTAGGGTCTAGGGTTTAGGGCACTAGCCCTAACTAAACGCCTAAACCCTCAAAATTTGAACCTTAAACCCTCAAAGAACATTTGATGGAAGCCCGCATAGCCTGCTTCGGATGGTTTTTGCTTACCCTTTCATTCTCAGTAGGTCTCAAGGTTTAGGAACCCGAATTGTATTTTGGTTTCAGGGCTTAGGGTTTGGGGTGGTTTAGGCAGCCCTAAGTATATAGTAAGTAGCACATTAGGGCCCCCTACATAAGCCTTGTAGAAATACGATTCCACCCTTAACCCCCTTGATTTCGGGTTTCTACCTGCAGGAACTAGAGACCCCTCAGTGCGAAAATGTCTTATGGCTTCGGATGTCTGCCCTGATTAAATTAGGGTTTAGGGTTTAGGGGAGCCGATGAATTCCGCAGTCCCGCTAAGGGCTTGTGGTGCTCAGGGTTGCGATTCTTCCCTGACTCCTCAACAAATGTAGATGTATTATGTCTAGTATACCATATATATATATAATAAACTAATATTATATATATATATAACTAATTAATTAATATAATATATACAATATATACAACATATACAATCTGCCAAGGCACCAAAGATCCACAGTCAGCCGCCAGGGAGCCGGACAACCTAGACGAGCTTTGAGGAGCAAAAAGGTGCAGGTGTCGGTTTTTTTTCGAATTTTACAGGTGCATATGGGTAGTTTAGGGTTTAGGTTTAGGGGTTTAGGGTTTAGGGGTTTAGTGTTTAGGCTTTAGGGTTTAGGCGAAATTTACAGGTGCATATGGGTATTTCTCTAAATTATGGTCCCTTTTTGGGTCCCCCCTCATGAAAAAGGGCCCCAAGAAGGGACCCTAATTTAGAAAACTACCCATATACTTCTACCGCGGTTTAGGTTTTAGGGTGTAGGGGTTTAGGGCCGTTTAGGGCTTAGGGGCTTAGACCTAAGTCTAGCCGGAAACAGTAGTCCAACCTTTTAAAGCCCCGCCCCCCCCCCCCTTATATTGAGCCCCTCAAACTTTATGAGCCCCATCTTTAAAGAACGCATAAACTCAAAACCTATGTACAACACCACAAAGCCTTGGCAAAGCCCACATAAATACACCACCGAAACACACAAAGCATTGTAACACATGCCATCGGGATGCACGCTAGATTAGAATGTCTCTAAACCCTGACCCCTGCACCCCTCATATGTTCCGGGTCACTAACCGTCCCAGAGTTCCGGGAAGAAGGCGCGACTTCTTGAGAGAATTCCGGTGCACATCATACAAATGAGCCCCAAAAAATAAACCCTAAACCCGATCAACTCCATTGCCGGCAGGGCTTGGGTTGCTAGGTTTGTGGCTGTTAGTTTAGGGTTTCGGGTTTAGGAGTTTAGGGTCTCAAATCGCAAGCCTGAATTAACTCTAAATCCCAGATCCCCAAAAACAAAATTCCTCCCGCAAATGCCTGAACAGGTTTGAGGCCCATGTAAGACCAGCATGTCATTGAGGCGGTTTAAGGTTTAGGGTTTAGCGTTTAGGGTTTAGGGTTTAGGGCATTGAAGAGACTGCCTCAAACCTGCTAACCCGCCCCACGCATTCTCGGCAGCTGGGCAGCTCACCTTTCGTCATAAAGTCCTACCGTAGTCAATGGGTTGATCTTGTTTGTGACAAGGAACTCGCGGGCGGTGAGGCCTGAAACCGCCATCATCTTTATGCCAAGATGTCACATTCACCTTAGGCAAACCGTCCATGATGACCCCTAAACCCTAAACCCCTAAACAAGAAAACCCGAAACCCTAAACCCTAAACCCCTAAATCCCTAAACCCTAAACACTAAACAGTCATGACACTGTGAAACCTGCACAGCATCCTCCAAAGCCCCACTTCCAACCACTCTAAACCCTAAACCTTAAACCCTAAACCCTGAACTTAGTTCTCCAATACCCAACCTTTAAACTTTTCATAACTTAGTCGTAATCTGAAAGTTCAACCTTTTATTTCCTTGACCTCTTGGGGAAGTAAGGAAGTAAACCCAAGCCCGAAATCCTAAATCCTTAAACCCCCCCCCCCCGCCCTAAAGCCCTCAGCCCCAAGCCCATGCCTCCCACCTGTTTCGGGCTTAGAGTTTAGGGCTTAGAGTTTAAAGGCCGACGCCCAAAATACTTACACCCGCCCCGTTTAGGGTTTAGGGCTTCGGGTTTAGAGCCCAAAGCCCCGATCACGTCTAAACCATAAGCACCCGAAGCCCTCTATTCATAAGGTTTAGGTCTTAGGCTCAGTTCAGGGTTTAGGGTTTAATGTTTAGGGTGTAGGGTGTAAGGCAAAATGCCTAGATCCCGCCAGCCGTGTTATTAAAGCCACCCCTACATACTGGACCCGTTGAAGGAAGCAGTGAAGGAACTTTTGGGCCCTAAACCCTATAAACCCTAAACCAGGCCATGGCGAAGTCAGATGCTCACATTCGGCAGATCGCTCGGACGGTGAGGCTGGTCCTTCGTTCTGTTTCAGTTTTGTTTTTGAAAGTGGGTTTAAGGGTTCAGGGTTTAGGGGTTTAGGGTGTAGGGAGCCGAAACAAGTACGAATACTCTCCCTTGATGCTCCTTATTGTACATGTAGACTATAAGCCGCAAACCCTAGACCCGAAACTTTTTATACTCTGAACCAGTTTCAGGGTCTAGTGTTTACGGTTGTACGCAGTTCGGTTGAGTTACTTGGAGATCGTGTGTTGCGTGGGGGTTTAGTCATTCAGCAACATCCTATGCCATGTTGCAACATAGTATAACCTACTATAGCATACTCTAAACTTCTATAAAAAATCTGTAAATGACTACAACATCCCATAATCCCATAATATACTATACTATAAACCTTGACTAAACCCTAAACCCCCTAAACCCTGAATCCTAAGCCCCGAACTACCGAACCCTAAACCCTTAAAGCAAAAAACGAACCGTTGAAAGCGTAAAGCTCCTGAGCATCCAGCTTTACCTGGGACCTCCCCCCCCAAGAGTGCCCTTAAATGGGGGTTAAGGGTTTAGGGTTTAGGGGTTCAGGGTTAAGGGTTAAGGGTTTAGGGTTTAGGGGTTTAGGGTTTAGGGTTTAGGGGTTTAGGTAGAGCCCTTATGGTGCGTAATCGTGGGCATTTTGGGTATGGTACGGGCCAGTTGTATCCATGCTTTGCCGTGGTTACGAAGTTGTTCGCCTTATGGGCGCATGTTGCA